TAAAACACATTTAATGCGTTCTTATGGGCAAAAAACTCACAGTTATCCGGAAATCCTCCATGCGGCTGCCATTTTCGCTGTCCGGTAAGCAAGGAAAGGGCGCGAAAACATTTTCTTTACCCAGCGGACATTTTTGAACTGCCAATCAGCTGTCAGAAAAAAATCGCTATGCGAAAATCAGTAAGCAAAACGCTTACCGATCATTGCAAAGCGATTTTTGGCCATCTAAAACATCGTTATGCGATCGCTTTTGCGATCGCAAAAAACGCGTCGCTATGTGGATTCATCGTTAAACGAATTGCTCGTTATGCAGGGCACCACTGTATCTGGGTTGTCCAGGACATCCAGATCTTTCTGGTATAATTCCTCTGTGTATTCTTGCCACCTCTTTTTGATGTCTTCTGCTTCTGTTAGGACCCTACGATTTTTGTCCTTTATCATGTCTATATTTGCACAGAAAGTTTCTTTAATATCTCCAGTTTTCTTGAACAGATCTCTGGTTTTTCATAATGGCGATATGCTTCTATAATTATGAATCTCCACTAAATACGACGTAGTAGACAATATTAATAAAACTGAAATACATTTTGAAAAGCCGTCATATATAATTAAATATTTTGATCCATCTGATTTATCATAGCTATATAAAATTATTAACAGTGCAATCATGGGGAGGGATAAGAGGGCTGGAGACCACTGAGGCAATCAAAGAGGAGCCCATCCATAGATCATTTACACTCCACCATTGCTAATTGATTCCAGCTCATGTATTACGGTTATGCAGAATATGCTTAGAAATTATACCAACATTCCCCGTACCCCCAAATCCTACAGACTGTATCCTTTTTGAGTGCAATCTTGTATATTCAAAAACAAATCAGTGTTCAGTGGGACTTACTGCCAGTTAAGTGTTCACAGAACTGCAAACAAACAAAAGGCATGTGCTCATATTATCCCTCAAAAGTAAAATAAATGCTCAAATACGAGCTGCTAGTCTTCTAAATAAACAAAACACCAAGTTGCCTTCTCTCAGTTAAAATCATTTGCATTAAACATGGTAAAAACAAACAGCAACAAACTATTTGCTAAACTCCCAGCAATTAAAAAGAATAACTAGAAAGAAAGCAAATCGTTCAAGTTTCACCATGCCTAATAAACATACGCCTTCAATTTATTCTATGAAGGGGCGTGTGCTTCCTTGCCGGATCCTGTGCCGTCAGCAGACTATGCAATTAAATGCTTACCAGCCGTTGATTTCATTTTGAGAATTCACGTTCACCCCGAACTCCACCAATCGCTGGACTTCTTCGAGGTCCCCCAAAGCAGCCGCTTCTCTCAATCTCTCCTGAAGTTCCTTTTCTTCTAACGCAGAACTCATGTTACGAATTATTCTTTACAGTAAACTTTGGCAGCAGCAAATAACAGCCTAGCGTCCGAGATGATGGATCATTTTGTATCCGCAGTTAATAGACGCGTAAAGTCTAATCTGTCCCGGGGAAAAAAGCGTCTTGTTCCTCTTAATGTAAAAATCATGTACAGTTCTTTTGCTATGTACTGCTATAAATCAAAGAATCTCACACGTCGGAAGGCCATTTTTCCTAATTGCATAGTTATGGTCCGTCTAATAAGGTTCTGCTTCCTGCTCATGCGGGGGACTCTATTAAGTGTGACAACAGCGACCTAGACTTTGAGTTCCTAGCAAAGGTCGTGCATGCGGGAGTTCAGCGCGGCAGAAGGGCATTGTTTTCTTTACCATTTATAAAAATAAGTGATGAGTTAAAAGATAAACAGCCTTATGATGACCAATAATTATACTCCTGAGAAAATGAGAAAACGCATTCTGTTGCTTGGGTCCACGAACGACGATCGCGCCTCCCCTTTCACCTTTCCTATCTCCCACACGTGGATACCGAGGGCTGAGGTTACGCCTTTCTACCTGTTTAGACTGCACACGTGTGACATGGCACTACTGTGTACAGTATAAGATAACGATGCATATTGCAAACAACAGGTTTGTTGTCAAGAGCGAGAAGAAAGGGAAGGACCGTGTGCTACCTTAAGCTTACTAGAGGGCAAGGGGAGAATAAATATTAATTAAAATAATAAATGTTGCAGAGTCCAATGTTCCAAAATGGTGCTTCAAGCCCCTAATAAACAGGAAGCTTGGTTTACAAAAGCATCTTCTTCTGTTCCTCTTATAAACCTTCATCGCTGTACCGATTTTAGTCATGTGGCTGGTCTAAATACCGATACTGTATTGTGTTACATTTAGCCTTCTATGTTTTGTAGCTACAGTATTAGGGAAAAAATATTTTTCAATACTTCTATTTGTAGGAAGAGACATTTATCTGATCAATGCTTCTATTTCCATGTCTTTATTTCCAAGACTGATAATTCTCTCTGCATCACATTGGATTTTATTGCCCTTGTGAAATGTAAGCCTTTCGCCTGACTGGCAGTGTCTAACTGGTCCAGCCAGTCTCTTCACCACAGAGTCCTGTGTAACAGACCAGCTGCCCACAGTATCTAAACTGAGTATCCTACAACACTTGTTATGAAATATTTCCATTGTCCCATGTACCTGCTTAGGAAATAGTAACCACATACCTGCCTTATTTGGTGAGTGTTGAAATGTAACTTGCTAATTGGCGGGATTAGTTGTTACCCTCCACATTCTTGCTCAAAATACTACAAAAGCCGTGTGAATGCTCCATGTTTTCATACTCCTCTTTCAGAGGGTATTTCCACCAACTGGAATAAATTGCTTCACTCACTGCCTGATTTATTTGCCTCCACACTTACGGAGAGAAAAAAAAATTCTAGGTGTGATCCAGGCAACAGTAGCCCATAGGTTTTTTTTCCCCCCCCTTCCTACACCTATTTTCCCATTTATTTTATCCACAGTGATCGGCTGCAGCAATCAGTACTGTTCACATTATATGACCATCATAGTCTTGTTTTCTGCGCTTTATGTGTCCTGTCAATTTTTGGACTTAGTACTTTTTAATTGGTCACCCTCTTGGTCCAAGATATTTTACATTCCAGATGTTTCACATTTCAAAATCCACATTTTAAATGTTTCTCCCTTTTTTCATAGTAGTTTGTAAATGTGATTGGGTTCGGAGTTTTTTAAATGTTTCTCCCTTTTTTCATAGTAGTCTGTAAATGTGATTGGGTTCGGAGTTTCCTTTGGGCAACTCCTCACTTTTAGCGGGAAATAAAACAGGAAATGTCTTAATAACTTTCAATCTGTCATTTTTATTGCCTCTCATCTCCTCCAGCATATTATTCATAGGATCAAAGGCTCTTAATTCTGGCAACAGGTCACAACTAGATGAACCAAAACTTTTCCCATATTCCCACTGACTCAACGGGGGGGAGGGGTTTCTTTCACACCATTCTCGGTACAGTGGTCTTCGGAGAGGAATACTTTTCAGGGCACAAATCGTCCTACAACATGAATGCCTCATCCAGCCTTACTCATGTGGTCTATTGTAGAAACGGCCACAACATGAATGCCTCACCCAGCCTCGCTCATCTGGTTGTAGAAACGGTTGTAGGCAATCTCAGTCTCTCTTTGCAACTCTAGCTTGTGCGGTGCTACGATGACAGTCCATTCCTGGGTTCGAAACGGAGTCGGCTTATCTTCCCCCAATTTTGGTTCCGGCAACAGTCCTCCCACCTTCAAGTGGGGAAAGTCTCTCAGTAGCCCCTGAGTCTTTATGTACTCTACTTCCCTTCGTGCTTCTTCCCTTTTTCTCTCATACGTATTCTTCCAACATTGAACTGAACCAATGCACCCCTTCCCCGCTTATATCCTCTTCCCATGCTGTCACCTCTTGCTCTGCCTTCCCCTCTTGCATCCTCCTCCACCAGGCAAATCTCCACCTTTCCCGCCTTTTCCTTCAATTCAACTTCTCCCACCTCCTTTGTAACTGTCACTTCTTTAGCCACCTTCTCTCACTTCCCCCATCCTCTCCTCCTTCTATGGCCTCTATCGTCACAGACGGCACACTTTCACACACTCCTCCTTCACAGTAAAGTCCACAGTTCCATCTCATACAGCAGAACCAAGAGTTTACAGGAGCCTATTTTGAGTTTTATTGCAGAAGCCATCTCATACAGCAGAACCAAGAGTTTACTTTACGGGACCCTATTATGAGTTTTATTGCAGAAAGTGGTTTGAGGGATTTCTTGTTTGACCTTCTGGTTGATGGTCCCTCAAACTGTTACATTTCTGTTTCCATGTTTCTCTCCTTTTTTATGCATCCTTGATTTTCCCTCCAATTTTTAACCCCTCTTTGCTAGACATTTTTGTCTTGAGTGGGAGCTTCCCAATGGACATGGTCAATATTAAATTATTTCAAAGTTATCTTCAGTGGGTCCTTGAATAGTTTATTTTGTTCACCAAGCAATTGAGCACCTGCAGCAAGCTCTCTAGTAGAGAGCTTTGGGAGACAGTAATCTGACATCCTGATTTGTCCACTCCACTGAAGTTGTAGTTGTTTCAAAATGTTAAAAATGCTTGTTATCTGTGTTTGCTCCAGGACTTCAATGTCAGGGACTTTATCCTGCCATCTGATATTCAGTATTCTCCAAAGTCAGGTAAAACGAACATGATTGAGCTTTTGCATGGTGTTTGTACACAGTCCAATGCACTCTTTGCATGGCTGCCTTTGGAGAGAGTTCAGAAACTTCAACTGGAATAAAATACTGCAGCCAGGCTCCCAAATTGCCCAAGAAGCATATACTGTAACTCCCCATTACAATAACTATACTAACTGCTATCTTTCTTTTGTTTTGAGAGTGGGCATACTGCTACCTAATAGCAGCCACCTACTCTGAAATTCCAGACCAATTCCAGCATTGTTTTCCATTAACACTCTCTGATGAAGATCAGGAGAGGATAAAAGAACCCCAAAGTCAGACAGTCCTCCAAAAGTCTACCTTTCCCTATCTCTCCAGGGGCATGCTTACCATCCACAGCGCATACTGTTATTTTCCCTCTGTCACTGAGATTTGACCCACACAACAAAGTTTCCACTACTTTGAATGTCCTGAGATGATCTGTCTGCTTCTGAGGCAGGGTGGATTTGATTTAAATGGATTTAAAGCAGATTTAAAATTTTAAAATAAGTTATTTTGATTATTTAAATAAAAAAGATTTTAAAAAATTTACATTATGACTTAAATTGTTATTTAAATAAATTTGGAAATCATTGTTTTTTAATGCACTCTGTTCTTAGGAAAGGAAAGGGTACAGTTGTTCTTTCGTTGTAGGGAGAGGTGTAAATTTGGGGTTTGGTAGTCTGGATTGTGCAACGATCTGTCTGTAACAGCTGGCTGACACGCCAGCATTCAACAGATGAAGGCTGGTGAAATTTGAAATAAGAGCAACCATATCAATCACAAACATTTTGCTAATATGAAATATGGCAATAGGCTGCCAAGAGGTACATAAGTGAAAAAAGGGTGGGAACCACTGGAGTAGAATATGTAGTGTAATACTCCTGTTGAATTGGCTCCTTTTTAGAATTTGGTACTTTTAATGGTATTTAGTAATTAAATAGATGAAATGAAGATATAAATAAAGAGAAAAATTAAAAAAATAAAGGCAGAAAATATAAAGGAAAACAGCAAAATAATTCAGTCTGTAAATCAGTACATGTAAATAGTATAAATAAATGGATACATAAATACATTGGTTTTTTTAAAAAGGATAATAATTTGCTCCCTCATTTAATGCAGGCTTATAGGCAACACAGCATCTAGGGGCCCCTCTCATCCTAGACAAGAACGTACGCAGCATACATACGAGTACACCAGATAGGCGGGGTATAAATCAAATGAATAAATGAATAAATGAATAAATACAGGATTATCATGTTCTTCCCATCTTCTATTGCTGCCTGGTTTTACTAAACCATTTGGGTTTACACCTTTGTCCTTTTTTTTTCTTGTTTGTTATTTGTCTGACTAAACCATTTGGGTTTACACCTTTGTCCGGTTTTTTTTTTTGTTTGTTGTTTGTCTATTATTATGTTTGATTATGTCATTTTGCTTTTTGCCCTGGTTTTTATATGCACACCACCTAGAATAGTGTCATGCAATAATAAATCAATCTCAGAAATGAATTAATGAATAGCATCCAGACAGCGTCTGGGCACAGAATACAATATTTGCTCTGCAAGCAAGGAGGCACTTGCTTTACTTCATACTGCATGTATCTGAAGCTCCTTTCCTTGGAAAATATGTTCCCTCCTTAGGGATAGTTACTCTGGAAACATTCTAGATGTAACTTTAATGGTACCACCGTTCTGCCTTACTCACTTCCAATACAAGGATTTGAAATATTTCTGAAAAGTGGCAGATGTTTCCATGAAGTTCTAAATAATATTTAATGTAAATTACGGTGTTACTAACAATAGTAAATATACAGTCAAAATAAGACCAAGGCTAAATATCTCTAGCCGTCTATTTATTTAATACAAATCCAGAGGGGTCTTGTATTCTGCGAAGCTGTGGGAAGTCGGAGCAACTGTCGAATACGTGCGAGCGTAGAGTCCAGTTAGGTGATGCTCAGCTGTATCTGAACTGCTTGGTTTGGTACGCTGAGGATCCGTGCTCCCCTCTTTATTGAAAAAAAAACCCTCTGAGCATTGGTAGGAACCGTGGGATGTGGAAACTGCCCATGTAGTCTGTCCTTAAAAACTTCAGCACAAGACCACGGGCGCGACGCGGCTACCCGGCTCATGGCCGTCTCTCTCTACCCGTAGGCAACGCGGGGCCTTGACAACAAGACGCGGGGGCGGCTACGCGAGATGTGCGTAGTGCATTGTGGGAAACGCCCTGGCTGGAGGGTGCCGCCATTTTGTCTCTGTCAGTCTCGTTAGCGGCGCGGCTTGTGTGTCTTGTTAAAAGGAGGGAAAGCGGTGGCGTAGCGGCAGCCAAGCGGGCTGACTGGCATCATGATTTCGGCTGCCCAGCTTTTGGACGAGCTTATGGGCCGGGACAGGAACCTGGCCCCAGACGAAAAGCGCAGCAACGTGCGGTGGGACCATGAAAGCGTGAGTAGCGCGGAGCCCGGGCCTTGTTCTGGGTAGCAGGGCCTCGCTCGGTGGCGGTCCTTTTCGCGCGCCCCGAGTGGATGATGAAGCGGTGGGAGGAGGGAGAAGACGGGGGACCGGCGGTGAGTGCAAAGGCAGCGTTTTTAACGGGCTGGGTTTCAAAGAGACTCTTGTCTTCCCAATTTCGTCTGTGAGGAGTCGCTTGGCGGCAAGAGGCTGCACTGCTCGAAGCACCTTTAGGGCCTCCCAAGGGTGGGGTGAATAGGAAGCGCCGCAGAAGCTGCGGGAGAGGGCCCTTGGGTGCTTCAGAGGGAAGCAAGGAAACTCATCGGATCCCCTAGCCTGAGATGTCGGCGATGAGCCGCGAGAACAGCGGACAATAGATGTCTCGAGATGGGATGCCTGGAAACACGGTGGCCGCCTGTAGGTGCAGGCAGGGTGAAAAGGCAGGAGCTAAAACGTGGATGTGAAAAGGGCGTTCTTCGTTTCTGTTCTTTCGTTTTTATAAATTTTCACTACATTACTGTATACTGCACTTACTTAGGAGAGCGTTTGATTGCCCTTTTCCAGTTCAAAGCAGAACTATGCAACCTGATTAACAACGATTGGAAAAAAGTTACTCCCAATAAGATTAGACAAAAAAACAAACTATCACTAACTGCTAAAATAGGAAGGTACTCACATAAAAGTGAATTGCAAAATCTGTTGCTGAACTTTTTCAAAAGGTACATCGTTTATCAAAGAGGGGCAAATGATTCTCCTGGGTAGTTGAGCATAGAAGGGCTAAAGGTGTGGTTAGAGCACTTTGTCTCACATTTTGGACTGCTTTGGAACATGCTCATTTGCTTATTTCCTCGCATCCACATGATGTAAAGGAAATCATGGACCAGCCTGACCCTTAGCTATGCTAACCTGTACCTTCTTGGGTCCCTGACAGGAGCTGCTGTGTCTTTAGCACCTTCTTGGGTCCCTGACAGGAGCTGCTGTTTCTTTAGCACTGGTAGGACTGCTCTGTTTTAGTTCAGTTTCTGGGACAGGAGCTGCTGTGTCTTTAGCACTGGTAGGATTGCTCTGTTTTAGTTCAGTTTCTGGCATCTGTGATTGCCAGTATTGAACCAAAGTGAAACCAGACAAACCAGTGAAGTGAAGCGTTGCTTGCCTATAAATAAAAGAAAGAAACCACCCAACTTTCTCTTGCTCCTTGCAGAAACACTTGTGGAACTTTTTCTTTACAATCCAGTGAGTGGTGTTTCACTTCAGTGGCAAGCCAATGTACAGTAGTAATATATTGCTGTCCAACAAAGGGAAGGAATAGATAAATAAAATTCAGCTTTCCCCAGCTCCCTGCAGAGGGACAGAGAGAGAAAAGGCAAAGGGTTTTTTTTTTCCATTTATTGTTTTTACTTTAAAGCAAGCAAGTAATATATAACTTCTAGAGATGGGCATGAACTGGAAAACAGTGGTCTGTGATGGTTCATGGTTGCCCATGAACCACAAACCATTAGAAACTCCTTGAAAAATGAACCTGTTTGCAGTTATTTTTCCATGTTCATGCCAGTAGGGGGGCTGCCTTGTCTGGCTGCCTCTACCAGTGCCCTCTTCAGAGGCAACAGCAGGCTCCTGGCAGGTATGCTGAACCAGCGGAAAACAGTGGTCTGCCTGCAGCTGATGTGCCTGCAGCTGATGGGTGGGCACATATGCCGAGGCAGCAATTCTGGCTTCACCACACCAGGAGCCTGCCACTGCTTCTGAAAATGGCACCGACAGCCCACACCAGCAGCAGAGGAGGTGGAGGTGGCAGGACCAGGTAGGCAGGGGTGATGGGGGCATGCCATCCCATTTTGCCAGAGCCAAACAAAATGCCAAGCAGAAAAAAGTTTGGTACTTTGTTTTGCTCCAGCAAAACAGGATCCCACAACCATGTCACAAAAAGAAATATGGGCCAGCCCAGTTCCTTTGTTTTTCTCTTTCTCATTTCATATCCATATCTGTTTATCATTAAATGAAAATAAAAAAGCCCAACTTTCCCCCACTCCCTGCAGAAGGAGGCCAGGCTGACCCTATCTCTGCTGTCTTTAGACAAGCAGGCTAAGGCCTTTCTCTTCAGACAAGTTTGAGTGGGATTTTTAAAAGAGAGGCTTTGAAACTCATTCCGAGGCCAGGCCAGGCTGACCCTATCTCTGCTGTCTTTAGGCAAGCAGACTAAGGCCTTTCTCTTCAGGCAAGCTTGAGTGGGATTTACTACTACTTACTACTTTGAATGTGTTTTTGTGTTGCTTTTCTTTACTACTTCTAAAGTGTGGTATTTCTTTGATCCTTTTTGTATTTGTATACTTACAGTTTTTATCTTTAAACATTGTCTTTTAATTGGGTGAGCCATCTTGATTCCTTTTTAAGCAGAATTACAAGGTAAAAATATTTTTAGTAAAAAAAAAAGTAGTCACACCTAGTATTGCAGTTCAGGTGGCCCATTCTTTTGTTTCCACTAGCTGAGCTGTAAAGGTGATGGAAACAAAAGAGACCTAGCTAGATAATCTCAGCGGATGAGCAACAGCAGGCTGTTTAGTTGGTGTAGTTTGCAGTGTTAAGATCTTCGAAGATAATGACCAGCATTCTGCATTGCATCTGTTTATTAATTAATTGATTTAAAATATTTTACCCCACTTTTCTCCTTAAAAGGGACCCAAGGCAGCTAAAAATAGTAAATATAGTAGAGGCCCCCTTATCTTCAGGATCAGTATCTGCGGATACACTTAACCATGGTCTGAAAATATTAAAAGAAAAACATCCAATATTTATATTTTTAATGATGAAATTACCAGAGCTGGCTATTAGAGTGAACCAGAGACCATGCTGTATACAGTGGTGCCTCGTTTAACGACATTAATTCATTCCAGCGAAATTGCTGTAGAGCGAAAACATCGTAAAGCGAAAATTTAAAAACCCGTTGAAACGTATTAAAACCCGGTTACTGCGTTCCAGTGGGCTAAAAACTCACAGTCCAGCGAAGATCCTCCATACGGCAGCCATTTTCGGTGCCTGTATAGCGAGGAATCCGTCCTTAAGCACAGCGGGGAACCATTTTGAGCACCTGGTGGCCATTTTGAAAACCTGACGATCAGCTGATCATCATAATGCGAAGAATTGGTTCCTGAAGCAGGGAACCGATCTGCACAAAGAAAAAAAAACCCATTTAGACCATCGTTTTGCTGTCGCAATTGCGATCACAAAAACATTGTCATGAAGCAGATTCGTCATAATGCGGGGCAACCGTTAAGTGGGGCATGACTGTATACCGTTTGCTATTAAAATAGTGTTTAACCTTTTTCAGCGACTAATCGTTAAGCGGGGCATGACTGTATACCGTTTACTATTAAAATAGTGTTTAACGTTTTTCAGTGGTCAGCAGGAGGCTTGGAACCAATTCCCCATAGGTACAGGGTCCTGCTGTGTACAAATTCTAGAGCTTGGAACCAATTCCCCATAGGTACAGGGACCTGCTGTGTACAAATTCTAGAAAGGTTCAAATACAACATTACAACACAGTAGACAAAAACAACACACAAAAAACACATTCAAATATGTTTAGCAACCCCACTCAAAAATCTAGCCACTGATGGAAAGCTTGCCTGAAGATGAAGGTTCTAGAAGAGGACCAGTAGGCAGAAGGATGGATAATGAAGAGCTGCATGCCTTTTGCTTCCGGCTAGAATCCTATTTACTGGCTGAAGTAAACGACTAAACAAACAAACAAACAGAATCCTAGTTACTAGCTGAAGTACATTCCTGTGGCTAGGTCCATCCTACTAGTAACAGTATAGTTACTGCATGTGTCCAATTGAAAACTAGCCTTACTGGCAGACAACAGCATTAGCCTCTTGAGAATGCAGGAGCAAAATTGAGTCCAGGAATGCTCCAAACGTTCACCCTAACTTTGTGAAGAATGGCTTCCGTGGTACTTAAAGAGGCAAGAGTTTATTGACATAGAATTGCCTGTAACTTTGTTCACTTCAGTAGTACAATATTTTCAAAAACAGTTAGTCAGAATAGCTATCTGATTTTAGCACCTAATGTGGCTTTCTTTTTCTTTTGTTTTTTTCATTTATAGTAAACAGAACAGTTGAGTTCATGATGGCTAAATTTGTTCCTCTGTTTGCTACAACGCTGTCTGGGAGAACTTGCACTTGGCTGTCTAAAAACTGAATAGTGTCAACTGTTAGTAGGGAGAATGTTTGGTTTCCACCTACTAGAACCCATTTCTTAAGAACCTGCCAGAGAGTATTTGGAAACAGCAATTTTTTATAGGGCACCCACAGGAGTTAGGCACTTGCAACATTTCTAGTTCGTATGTGCATAGCTTAAATAATCATATGTATGTAGAAAACAATATTTGCACTTTGCCTGTGGAGTTATAGCTCAGTCCTGTAGGTGTCTACACTGAAATAAGTCCTGTTGAGTTTTATAGACCTTCTGGGGGTCATTAATTCCTAGGATTGCGAGAAATTGGCACATAGTAGTGACTCCTAACAACAAAGCTTCTATGTTTGTTCAAGTGAAGAAAAGCAAGTTGAAAATAAACCAAACCTATGTTAATGAAATATCCATTGTGATGTTGTGGATGTAGTGGCGGATTAGGACCCACGAGGCCTGGATCTGAATCTTGGCTCAACCATGTAAACACCTTAAATATCTCACTGTAATTCAATTCCAACTTGATAGCACATAAAAATAATAGTTAACAAATCTTTTAGTATCCTTGTCCTCAAACTAGAGAAAGAGGTAAAGGTAATTGTGTTATGCAACAGAAGGTACACACAACCTGAAGGTCATAAAGGCTCATTTGCTTAATACCAACCACAGTTTGCTGTTACATCCAAACCTACTGTTTGTGCCTGTTGTTAGACAAAATGATAAGAAGACCCATTGCCATCCACACAGACTTCTCTTTTGTGGAAGAATGAGAACTGTTCTTCTGTGATTAGCTCAAGGAATGCTTCTAC